AGTGATGGTGCGTTCAAGGCGCCTTGAAAACACGGGTGCAGAGGAGATAAACTATGTAATAATCGATGTAACCATGGGTTTTACCGATGCAGACACGCAAAGAAAGATACATTGTGCATTTAGCCGGCAGTTGTATCCGATGCACACTGAAGCTACCGGTGCACTCGCATCGCAAACGTCTGTCTCGGACCACCGCTTCAAATCGGTGAATCTCTCCATCCCTAGTGCGCACGGCACTGCACGGTTGGGTGCACTGCACACGTTACTAGCGGAGCTCTGACATTTCGAGCAGAGAGGCAGAAGGAAACTAGACTCTGTTGGGTTTTTTTTGTACAAGAATGTACATTTGATAATATATGTATCATCATCAATCACACATGGAAAAAAATAATTACTTACTTCTTTCTTTTTTAAGTTAATTGCTCTTGGGGGCCCCCTAGTGGTCACGGGGCCCTAAGCAGCTGCTTAGTTCGCTTATGCCTTGGGCCGGCCCTGCATTTACAAACAGGCTTATCGTCTCTGTTCTGATTTTCTTTGTATCTCAACTCATGTTTCCTTTATGCTGTACAACATCATACCAGATCATTACAATATCAAGGAAAACACTGACCAATACTTAATTTTTTTTTAAATGATTTGTTACTCTCTAGTTTACATTCCAAACAAACAATATTGTCACAATACAAATATCATCCATGAAAACAGAGTTAAACTCGTTCAGCTTATCTAATATTTGAGTAAGCAATAAAACACATCCAGTTTATCTTACACATTAGTAACCTTACTTTCTCAGTAACATAACACTGTTTATTTTTTGTAGAAACACAGTACCTGTTTCACAACCGAATTAACAATAATTTGGACAAATATTCTTAATAATAGCAGTAAAACAAGATATAATTCACCATCCCTTAACACAATACTGCTCAGCAAATCACTTAATTATCTGGCAACATGAGGAGTAAGTATGGGCTGATTTTTGTGTCAGTAGAAACTGAATTTGAATCATTTAGAACTGAATCTGAATTGCTCAACTTGAATAATTGCATCAAAAAACTGAATCTGAATAGCATAATTTGAATTTGAATTTATTAGTTTGAAACTGAATTCCAATAAATTTGAAACTGAATATAATATTATGAATCTGAATTCAGTTGCAACTGAAACTGTATTTCAGCCTCACTAAAAATTCTACTTTTTATTTATTTTTTATTTTTTCAATTTCAAACCACAAAATTCACTTTTAAGGTCACAGACGGGTCAAGGTCATTCAGTAAGAGCAATCGAGTGCAGATGCAGAGAGCTCCTTTTTGGCTAAGCAGCGTGTTTGTTTTGAACATTTCCTAGACCTGTAGACATTGGCTTGCGAAAAACATGCTAAAAGGACACATATTATTCCCCTTTTCAGGTTCATAATTGTATTTTGTGGTTCTCCTACAATAGGTTTAGATGTTTTAATGTTCAAAAAACACATTATTTTTCTCATACTGCCTATAGCTGAGCAGCTCTTTTCAGCCTCTGTCTGAAGGCCCTCCTCCCGAAAAGCCCAGTCTACTCTGATTAGTCGGCATTATGACGTTCCTTCATTATACCCATGAGCATATTGTGGTCTGGAAACGTCTTGTACAACTAGGGCATTTTTACCATTTTCACATAATACCATGCATTTTCTTTGAACAGTGGAGCACAGGGCCTGGGCAGTAAGACCTTCACTACCATTGAGGAATTGGAAGCCAGGTAGGCACTTTGACTACCAAAACATGGTCAAGCAGGCTAAACCAATTTTCATACTACACAATAGGTGTTTGTCCATAGTGCTCGACACATTATACTGTCAGTACGCTCTATGTATGTTGTATTGCCAGAGATGTAACAAAATGCTGTCTCCTTTTATAAATGACACTTATCTTTGTTGTCATGGCTATCAATCTCTAAAGGCAAGGAACAGAGATGGATGGCCAGAGCACCTTGACACCAGTTGACCAGTTGGAAGTGGAATTACTACAAGGTCTTTGGTTCCTCACCACGTAAGTCATCAGTTGAGTGTGCTAGGACTTTGATGTTTCATAATTGATCCATTGATTTTGTAAGTTTTACTATTACTGTAGTTGCAGGAAAAGAAACATCTTCTGATATGCATGATGCTTTTCTCTTTAGTTTTGTTCATAGGTGTTCATCAATATTTCCATGATTCAAATTCTAAATGGACCACGCAGCCTCATAAAGATCACCACACCAGCTGTATTTCAGTAGCATAGACTGATGACTCTTGATGTTTTTTCTAGTATGTCATCAGTTGATCTCAATGAGGCCACAGTCACTGCGGACCCTATCAGTGAGGATGTCTTCAGTGACATCAGGAATGCCACCTAAGTAATATGTTGTGCATTTCTGAGGCAAGTCTTATGCAAGTGTAATTTATTTTCCAGAATACCATCATTGTTTTGCTTTTATATAGTATTGACCTGGAGGACAACAAATACCCTTCAGATGAAGACTTTGGAGATCTCTCCTATTTGGAAGAGGATGACTTAGAGGGTGCAGACAGTTCAGATAGTGACCCAGACTATGTAACAAGAATTTGTATTAGGTGAGTTTTAGACATGATTCTTGCATGGATAGCTTGTTTTGACACTGCACACTGTCCAAGACTGTGAATGTTCACAACTTTGTTCATAGAACCGGTGGGGCACTGGAAACGGCATTGAATGTGAATGATCTACCGGAAGTAAACATGGAACAGATTCTCTATGATCTGGATACCGAGGTGGAGGAGGAGCAAGAGGAGCTGGAGGGAGAAACATCAACTCATGCTGAAAAGTTTCCTGTGGAAATGAAAGGTATGTGTGAAGAAGACATCATTGGTGTACCTGCATCTATTGTGTATCACCACAGTCTGAGGCAGCTGGTACAGTATCTGAGCATTCCAACCAAAGTATGCAAAAGGATGGACAGGGCCGCCAGGCAGCTGTTGTTAAATGGGTAAATTTCGAAGTCTTTTCCATATCATCAATCATTTGTTCCATATTGTGTGTGAAATGTTGTACTAGCTATGAGATCACAGATAAGATGATGCGTTACTGAAATATTTATTCTCGATGTTTATCTGAATTCCAGATATGTCCACAAGGTCACATTGTTTGGAAGTGGTCTTCACAGCCGATTCTGAAATATGGCATGCATGCTGGAGACTTTCTTTTGAGCTCAAACATAGTTTTGTCTGGAAACAACTACGTGAAGGTGGCGTTGCTCTACAAATTCATGAACATTCGCATCGTGAAACAAGCCACGTTCTACAGAATCCAGGACCACTTCTGTGTCGACACCATCAGGGAATTTTGGGACACCAAAAGGATGGAAATAATCAAGCAACTTCAGTCAAAGCAGAGTATGGTGGCCTTGGGTAAGTCTCCTTTAGAAACAACTCTGTACATGACTGCTCATTTAATCTGTGATTTTATGTGGTACAACCTCACTTCTTTGGTCATAAGTGCTTTCTGCCAACAGGTGATGGACGGATGGATAGTCCTGGTTTTTGCGATCAATATTGATAAGAGGCAAACGGCCATAAATTCAGTGGCCATGGAGAAGGAGGCATTTCTCCAAGCTTTTGAATCCCTTTCTGAAGATGTCAAGCTGACAGAAGTTTGCACTGAGGCTAGCCCCCAGATTTCAGCTCTTTTCAGTAAGTTGTACTATGTATTGATTATGTCATTCTAATGGTTTGTGTTGAACCTTGGGTGTTTATGACTAGGCTAGTTGTGTGTTGTTCTTTAATCAGCTTGAAGTGTTTTGGGTTGGTTCTTGTTTTACAGATCCAAAGACGGGGAAGTTGAAAGATAGGGGGGTTCAACATTCTCTTGACGTATGGCACGGCTCCAAAAATCTGTCCAGAAGACTTACCACTGTAAGGGCTCACTCTATACTTTGTGGGATTGCACAATTTTTTTGGATTTGTGTACCCATGCAGATGTTATGTTTTTTTTTTAAGGCAGGGCAACAGCAGGGGTGTGCGGTTCTGCTTCCGTGGTGCAGAGACATTTGTAACCATTCCTGGCACTGCTGCAAGACTGCTGAGACCTATGACGAGTTTTTTGCAAGTATTTACAGTACTATTTGCTGGTGTGCTGATCTTTACTTTTTGCTGTTCATGGTGAACTTACCCAGCAACTAATTGGTATGAGTATGTAAATGCCTGGGAGTACAACACACAAGAGTTAAAGGTCAATCCAGAGCAGCCGCCTTGTGCCATTTGTGTGTTCTGTAGTGTTACATGTTATTATCCAAAGCTGTTGGCACCTTTGCACATTCACCGGTGACCACCTGTGAGTCTACCCAGGCTACTTTGAGTGGCTCACTTGAGTACCATATAGGTAATTTGAGCCATTACTGCATTTGCTTATATTTCAGGACATGTGGGTCGGCTTTCTGCACCACGTTACTGGGGAGCACCAATGGGCTCTGGGCAGCTACCATCATGGTCCGCTTGAGGAGGCAAGGGAAAAAGAATGGATTGAGCCAAATTCTCAGGCCCATCAGAAACTTACTGAAGTGATTCTGAATGCAGGTTGGTTGAAGGATGTTTCAAAGTTTCTTCATTTTAGGTGTGTAAGATATGTAACAGATTCATGTCACTGTATGTGTGCAATATTTTTTAAATGACTAAACTTGTCATTCCTCCACCCCCACCGCAGATCAACTGCAGACCTGGAATCGCTTCTGTAGCAGGGGCAGCGGGGCCCTTCAGCACACAAACAACCACACTCCCATGAAACACCACTTTATTCAGTGTACGCCACCACACACAAAGTCTAGCCGGGCCTCTGGCTCCAGTGGCACCGGTAGCGTCTCTGGCCCAGCACACTACTCAAAAATAAGGGTAGAGTCATCAGGTAATAGGGCGGTGGGTAATCAACTCACCGGTGCCGCCTCCCAAGCCTTCCCCACACCCCCCTCCTGCAGCTGAGCGCAAACCACACCCACCTCCACAGCTTCACAACCACATGCTAATGTATGCCAGCAAAGTTTCACATATACTGAATCCAGTGCCAGAATATTCCTTGCAGGACTTGACTATAACCATCACCTTACGAGGGCACCAAGGAAAAAGGAAGATGGTGATTTTCAGTAAGTTGTATCAAGATATTGTATGTCTGACATGGGGGTGGGTCACAAGTAGTGACTTACAGCTTAGGGGGTCCAGATAACATTACATGTGTTTAGTACTATTCAAAGACTCCCATGTGCTGACAAGTACTGACTTGCAGCCTGGGGGTCAATAAAATATTACCTGTGATTATTACTAGACTAGTCAAAGGCACCCATTACTAGCCAAGGCACCTACCCTGGCTTTATGTATGTGCATCTATGTGTGTTACCATCACTGCTGCATCAATGTCGCCTGCCCTGTCCCCCCCTCCCTCATGGACAGATATGCCAAGTTGTATAGTAAAAGGTCTCGATGGCGCCTTTATACAATGAAGGAGAAGAAAGATTACAGTTATATCCCGGACCTCCAAGCTGCCATTTTAAAGGAAAAACTTGCATCTGAAGGGATACCCTGCAAAACGAAACCAAGACCTGGCGACCCAAGGCACCTTGGTACACTTTCATGTGTGCCAGTACCTTCAACCGAGGACCTTTTGAGGACGAAGCACTCCAGCGGAATAGGTAAAGCTTTTTAGACACTGCTTCTGTAATGGGAGGTGTCCAGGCCATTGCCTGACTAAAATTCAGGAACAGTGTAATATTGTCACACCAAAATGTATACTCACTGTCCACAGTATTGGCACTTTGTTGCCGCTAAGTGTCACATGGCTGGAGTGTCAGACAAATGATTGATGACCTTATTTTGTTTGTCTTTACAGGGCCCTCTTGAGGCACTGACTGACACAAGACTGCTGAGGGCCAACACATTTGGGAATCTTTTTGAATACTGTTGACATTCACAATGGTGGCACTTTTTGAAATAAATACAATGGCCCCAGTTTGTCATATTGTGTTGCTTATCTTGAGTGTTTATTTATATAAAGGTAAATAATGTATACATATGTTATGTTATATATTAGACACACAAACTAATTGGTCATTAAAAGTAATGATTTATTATTTATTATTAAACACTTTTATCCAAAGTGACTTACAAGGGAGAATAAGTTAGGAAGAATTTAACAATGATAACTTACCTGTGCTAAAATGAGTGAACAAAACTGTGCCAGAAAAATATAAAAAATATTTGAAAACTATTTACATTTAAATGTTTAGCTCCACCTACACGCTGCTGGGGTCAAAGCCTGTATACTGTCCATGTGGATCAGGGTATTGTTGTCTAATCTTCAAGACGCAACAGCTGGGTATGGCCACCCGGTGCCCTGGGCCAAGGGCACCATACTGCCACACAACATATTGCCTGTAGGCAGCATCTCTAAACTGCTTGTGGCTCTCACCTGGATCTGGGGCATCCTCTACAGCCCTTATGTCGTTCCAAATTCTTCTAGAAAGTCTGAGGACTCCTGCATCCAGGATGTAGAGGTCGAAGTGTGGAAGAGTTGATATGCAGTTTTGTGGATATTGGCCACAACACTTGCGCTCAATATCGGTTGGCATCTCCCTGCATTGTTCGCAGATGCACCATGCAGGTTGTCCTGGTACTGGATTTGGGGTGCAGTACTTTGGTCTGGTGTGGTCAAAATGTCAAAGAGAAGACTGGGATCTCTGGACAGGCACCTCTGGAGGAGTAGGTGACAGTCTTCAAGGATGAGGCTCTGAATCCTCTCCTGAAGTGAGCAGATAGACATGTAATTAGTTCAAGGTTCAAATGTTTCTACTGTATGCCAGGATGTACAGACTAATTCAAACATTAGCAATGTGGACTCTAAATTTCTAAACATGGTAATGTAGCAATTCGAGTACGTACTTGCTCTGCCGCGGAACCTTTGAGCACCCAACATCTGGACCCGCTGCAGATCCACATCCAGTGTAAGGGCTGCACCTCTTCCCCGTCCCCGTCCTCTCCCTCTCCCCCGACCTCTGCTTCCACGACTTGCAGCTCGACAGTGTATGAGAGGCGAAACAAGAAATTATGACACTCGTAAGCCATTACAATATGTAATAGTTTGTAGTTCCTAGCTTTTGACTTCAATCTAATACGCTGCCACGAACATGCTGGCCGCAGCTGTGCATTAGTTTGAAGTCAAGACGAACACATTATTAATTAATTCGTTATCACGACAAAACAATTTTTGTTATGTCGAGATAACAAATTAATAAGTCGTTATCACGAGATTAATAAAAAAAATCCATGGCTGTTCTCGGCTTCTGTATCTTTTGCATAAGCTCATACAATAATTTTCAATATATCAGCTGTAACTAATAACCACATATCGTAAACATATTGTATAAAGACTTAGAATATAAATGTACTCACTGAACAGTTGGAATTAGCTCAGCCATCTTAGGGACGTTAGCGTAGCACAACTCCACTCTTGATTTCCATGCGCGTTCATACAGTTACGGAAACATGGGGGGGAGGGGCGAGCTTGCTCTGTTTTGTTTGGTATTTACTTTGAACGACAACACAAGTGATGTCATGCAGGATCGCATAGTGCACCTTTAAGGTAGTAGCCTAGTGAGAACAGGGTGTTGGGGGAATCACTTTTTTTCTCTTTTTCATCAAACCGCAGTTTTTAAAAAATAAAATAAAAAATAAAATTGCATAATTATCCGGCATATTCCATCGCATTTTTTAAGAAAATGTGCTGCATAATCAAGGATTTTAGCCTGCAACAATCACAAAAAAAGTCCACATTTTTCTGGAAGGACTGGTTATTACACGGAGCACATACTTCATGTTCAATATTGAGGCTCGGAGGTCCTCTCTCTGTCACATACACCTTTTCCTGCTCACCAAATGCACCCCAAAACCTTGACAAAAGACAAAACTTGACTAGGTTATTATTACAACTGTAGTTTTTAATAACAGAAATAAAAGCATTAACATAAAACCTGGGTTATAAATACATAAACCAGTGCACACTGTGGCACCCCATGCTGGAAACCTTTTACAGCTTTGTTTGCAATTGAATTTTTCAAAGCTGTATAAGGCAACTTTGACCAACATTTACTAATAACTTAAAGTTTAGAGTGAACAAAGCATATTTACTAGTGTCCTGAAAATAATATCTTTGTCTGGCGAAGAGAATGGAGCATGAAGGAGATACATATTTACTTTGGCCCTCCACCATTTCATGCATGGTGTGCTGGGAGTTGCTGCCCACTGTTTATATCAGGGGATTGGTTACACCATTCTGTCTCAACTCTTCTGACTCAACCATGCTGACTGGTGCACTAATGAGCTGAAACAGCAGAAACCACCAAATAACTGTGGACTAGAGTGTTGATTCTCAGTGGGCCTGACACTTGGAGCCGGATTTTTATATTATAGTCCAGTAATTCAATGTTGAAACTAAATTTGCAAACTAAAACCTTTTTGTCATTTCTGTAGTTTCATGCACTGGAGTCAACAGCATCGCAGGCCCACAGTTCGTATTCCAGTGTTTTTTGTTGTGTCTACATGCGCCACTATGTTCACTAAATGTGTCTGTCTGATGTTTGCTGCGGGACAGGTATTGTGCAGTAGGTTTTTACAGCCTTTGGCTAAAAACTGCTTACTGTGCCTGAAAATAACAGTATGAGAGAATGAGCCAAAAGAGTCAATTGCAGGCTAGAAAACCAAAACAATGAGCCACCGATGCTGAGGCACTCCTTAGAGCAGAGCAGAAGTTAAGAGTGGGGTGATTATATGTGGGTTTGCTATTATGAGTACAATTTGACAGCATCATTTTATCTACTGGTTGTATGAAAACATAAATTTTAGCTACTTCAAACCTCCATTGACTGTTTTTTGTCCACTTGAGGGCAACAGAAACAAGTCACGAACACTGACAAATCATCACCTCTTTAAAGACCAGTGTGTAGGATTTAGTGGCACTATAATAACTGAACACTGTTTGCAATAGTATTTGGTGACCTGGGAATGACAACGGGCTGTGAAGTGTGCAGGAAAAAGTACAGTGCCTGTGAAACTTGAAAAAACAACAGGAGGCCCTATCTACAACCAGCGTTTGGTTTGTCCGTTCTGTGCTGCTGTAGAAACATGGTGGTTCAACATGGCGGACTCCATGGTGACCCGAGGCACCTGTAGATAAAAAGGGCTCAACCGAAGGTAACGCAAACTCAACAATTCCTATTTGGTGGTGATTATACACTAATGAAAACATGCCTATGACAATTATGTTCTATTTCTGCCAATAAATAATCCTAAATGTTGGACCCTTTAGTTGATATGGTGAAATATCCATCTCTTTAGCTGCTAAATACTCCACTATGTTCACTAGCTCATCCCTAACTGTGTCTGTCTGCTGTTTGCTGCTGAGCAGGTAGTGTACAGTGGGGTTTTAGAGCTGAAAACAGCTGCCTGCTGAGGTTGAAAATGATGCTATGAGAGCTGTGAAAGTGAACCAAAGCAGTAAAGTTGCAATCAGACGGATAAACAATGAGCTGATTAGCTCTGTAAATGAGGTTTTAAAAGCTTGTGAGTTACAGGCTGAGGGGAACTGCAGATTCAGGTGATAATTCTCTGTTTATCACTACGAGGAAAAACCCTTTCACATTGATACATTGTCATTATAAAAATATTGATAATAGCCACCTAAATATGAGAGGAACATTTAGCTGTCTAAAAAGTATAGCAAATCAAACAGATGGGTGAGCAGTTTCTAACAACCACAGCCTGTAAATCTTTCTATTAACTAAGGTAATGACACCTCACTTCTCATGTCAAAGATATATAACAGAATGCAGTTTCTTGACGGAAATTGTTCACTCTTTCTGCATTCCTTATTAATATCCTTATTTCATCACTCACTTTGCAGATTAAAATTACATGCAAATAGAATAACTCAACTCTAGGCTATTAATGAAGGAAGATATCTCCTCCCCTCTGATCTGATCAATTTAAGTATGCACTAAATTTTCTTCAAGGGAAAGTCTCACTAAATGAGACATGGGTTTCTTGGGAAATAAACGGAATGAATATATGAATGGTAGCCTTTCCTGTTCTCAATTTTCAATGCCTTTTTCCTAATACATGGGTCCATGCCATCCCTTCTTTGCCATCCTTTTTCACCGCCCTTAAATGCGATAAAAATGAGACCCATACTCCGCTGCCGAGTGACCCTTAGCTGCCTAAGTGACATTCTCCATCCTCCAGTAGCTCTATCCATCTTTTCTGGCTCCTCAACATGCAGCAAACCCTCCAATTTAACTCCTATCATTTGTTTTTCCCCTTCTCACAAATTTGATTCCCCTCTTCTCCACCGCTCCTTTGTCTCCTGCGTTCTCCACTCTCCTCACGCTTCCTCTCTTCTCTCCCCTCCTGTCAGACTCAAAGGCTGGCTATCCATGGGGAACTAGGCCGTCATTCTTTGCATTATTTTCAATAGAAAGGATGTGGTGTGGCATGACTTCCTGCAGAGACGGGAGTTTTGCATTATTTTCGCATTCAGAACATTCAGCAAATGTGTTCTAACTGAAAGAAAGGCCTGGGTCTCTCATGGGTTTTCAATAGATTCCAAGAGCCGTAATGATATTTTCCACATGACTATAGGATCTACTAGTTGCCCAGCTCAGCTGACCTACCAGCCTCAATTATGAAAAGGAAATTGTAGTTACTGTTGTTCCCTTCCTGTATTGTCATTTAATTAAATCATTAAATGTGTTCAAATAGTACTTAAAGGGATCTTATCATTTAGTGTGAATAGCAACACACTTGGAATGCCTCTGCGTTGGCGACAGCCATGGCTGAAGGCATTTTGTCGTTGGGTTGTCCGTCCTTCAGTGCATCCACCTGTCCCATTCTTGTGACCACGATCTCAGGGAAGTTGGACTCAAGGATGAAC